GAGTTAAATTGTTCAAGGCTGGGTTTTTTGTCTGGGCATGTGGGATCCTCTCCGGAGTATTCCAGATGAATGTTGCTAGGCACTGGAGTACAAAACAGTAGTTCACATCATGGGCTTAATATTATTTGTACTTTACGCTCTACTGGCATCCGGAATGGTATTGTATGAAGCAAAGAGGCGAAAAGGGAGTGAGGTGTATTAATCTCCAGCTTGTCATAAACACATACCCTATAAAAATAACTCAGATGAAGCTCGCACTTTGGAGCAGATGCAGTTTGAAAACTGCTTTCCAGGACTGGGAAAAATATTAACCCTTTTTTTCTGAGCTGATTTCTGTGGTCAATAAAGCTGACTGAGCTTGGCTTAGCTGACATTTCATTAGTCGATAATCTAATCCTACCCATCCTTTCTGCAGCCATGCAATCAATGATGAGACATTTTGCCGCCTAGGGGCAATGAGGATCCGGCCCAGACTAAGGGGTTTGGGCACCCTGGGCAAACAAATACTTTGCCCTCCCCCTATTCAATATAGGGAAAAATGAGACGCCCAGAATGAAACAACCAGACACTCCAATGTTTGGTTCCAGTATTCTTCTCCTCACTTGATTACATATCTATTTTCTTCGTCAATAATTTTTTGTTTTTTCAATCATAATTCAGGATCTTTCCAATTTTGTAAATTTTCCAAATCTTCAGAACATTTTTCATAAGAAGACAGAATTGAAAACATATTTTTCCAGGCCTTTGAACCATTTTCAGTAAGTGAGGTATCCGTTATATGACTGCTAAACAGCTTGTAGCAGAAGCAAAACACTGAGGCCAGGTTTACACTAGACCCAGAAGCTCAGCTTAAGGTACTCAATTCCAGCTGCGTAGAATACGTATGTTAAGCCAAGCTTGGCGCTGTCCATACAACATGAGGCCAATGGAAACAAACCCTCCCATCAGCTTCCCTTATTCCTTGCAAGAGCAGGAGTGCCAACCATCATCGGGGGCATGCCCTCTGACTTCAATTTAGTGAGTCTGAACTAGACTCGCTAAATCAAACTCCCGAAGATCGATAGCAGCAACGTAGATCTTCCGTGGAGTGAAGGCAAGTCCTGCATCTTTTGACAGTGAATGTTGTAATCACCGTTGATGTATTTCTTCCCTATTGGCAAGTTTCCTCTTGTAGAGCTATGCCGAGAATTTTCCTTTATTTTCATCTTTTGGGAAGCAAAATTCCTGAACTTGTTCCAGTCCATGTTCCGCTAGACTTTGTGATACACCATCATAACATCTAGGTCATATAGCAGGGTCTCCATACTGTAACTTGTAGCGAGTTCATCTTCGACATATCTACATTCTGCTCCCTTGTTATCTTTTTTTTTTACCTTGACCTTGGCACATGTATCTGCAGATTAATACATTTTCTCAACTTCAGTGTTAATTTGATGCTGTGAGCTACCTTTGTCTGGTTGTGGATGTTTGATGTTTGAGGACAGAACCTTTTTGCTTTGCTTGTTCTTTTCTCTACTCAGCTTTCCTTGTACGATATTGAGCTCCAGATGGTTTCTTTTTATCTGCCAGAGTGTTAATTTTATGAAAAATTTAAAGCAACTGTTTCAACTAAATTATGAAAATAGAAAACAACGCTAGTAAAGTAGAATACTATTTATGTTACACTCAAAAGATAAATGAATCAAAATGTTTAACAAGAACGACTAAATGTCAAGTAAATAATGCCTGGAAAGAGAAAAATATATAAATTTGCAATGCCATGAGACAATAGAGCATGTAGCTCTCTACCTATTGAAACCTTTCCTGGTGAGTTACTGCACACGGAATGGCATCATAGTAACATAAATCTGGTAAATTTTAATTTATTTGATCATTTTAATGTTCACTTAAAACTATTTTAAAATTAAACAGAAGCCTGGAACTTCTATTTTGAACATTATTGCAATTAGAGCAAAAAGAAATGGGTATGTTACGTGGTATCTGTTAACATGAGCAGTCAGATATTCGAAAATCAGGGCTTGACTATTACTTTAACAGTCTCCAATAAATACACAATTCTAAGCTTATAAATTAAAATGAAGATTAAAATTGGGTCTTTATTGGAGACTATTGCTGTTAGAGTAATAGTAAAGCCTTTTACAATCTTATTAAAACCTCTTACCCAATTTTTCAAGTCCAACACAATACAACGTCTTTGTAGATGCAGCTTCTTGTGGATCACAGCTCGTACTGCGGCAGAACAGCTGTTGCGGGTCACTGACTGACCTTCACTAACCAGCGAGCAACAGTGACTCAGCTGTACGACTACTGCGAGAGAGTGAACTGCCAGCCCTACCCCCAAGCAGCAAACCCATGCAGTGCCCTTTTGAAGTTGCGCTGTGACACGTTTTACTTGTATTTACATACACAGCTGTGCTCCACGACGTGCAGTAAATAATAGAACTCCACTTCTGTCCTGGCAATGCTGCGCTGTTTACAAGAACAATATCTGATACTTTCATTTATAAGAGACTAGACAATTTACCCGGCGTTGCCCGGGTTCTTCAGGGAAGGGGGTTGGTGGTGTGGGGGGTGCAGGAGTCAGGGCAGGCCTTGGTGATGTGTGGGGGATGGCAGGAGGGGCTCAGGGTGGGGAGTCCCATCTGGTCCCAGGTCCAGGGCCTTCTCTAACAAATAAGTCATTTAAGCATCTCTGCCATTTCCAAGTTTCCTGTTGTTGTTTCTCTCTCTTCACTGAGCAACGGGCCTTCCCTGTCCTTGGTCTTCCTCTTGCTTCTAATATATTTGTAGAATGTCTTCTTGTTACCTTTCTTAAAGCCTCTGTGCTAATTTGTGGCTCAGCGTCCCATGAATCATCTGCAAAATCACAGTTGACTTCCTTCGATCTGTTTAGAATGTGCTACCTCTGCATTTAATTGAATGGCCCTGCTCTCGTCTTATGAAAGACAGTAAATGAGAGCACCTGACTTGTCTTCTGGCTCTCATTCAGTATTTCGGATACCACCACCATGTCCCCTCTCATGTCTGCTCCCTAAATCTGACAGATCGATTCTTTTTTATCGCATCTTCCCTGGAAGCCTCTCTATGCTGCTACCCATCTTCATTGCCTCTGGGACACTTTCTATTTCCTCCAGCACCTTTCCTGAGATGAGTGACCACAGTGGAAGCATGTTCACAGGGTGAGGGCATCCAACTGGGCTAGAGAGCAGCTTGGGGCTGTTCTCTGTGCCTGACTTAACAGGACAGCTTGTTTCCTTTTTATTTTTGAAAACCACCACTGCATATTGAGCAGATGTTTCTTGAACAGTTCACCAGGATGCCTAGGTACTTTTCCTCACTACAGGTTGACCTCTCTAGCCCGGTAGCATCCGTGGTCCAGACTGATTTTAGCTAATGTCCACTTAGCATGGGTGTGGCCAAATTTCCCACAGTCCCATAAAGTTTGTTTACAGCCGCCAGTCCTGGCTCTCGGTGTTCTTTGCTAGTCTTTAGTTCCGATTTACCCCGACTTGTCTTCTAAGAACCTGATAAGCAGGGGAAGGGCTGGTGATGCTGCTAGACAATATTGACCTCCCACAACCTGGCAAATTCTCTGGTCCCAAGGGTGCCGGACTACAGAGATTCAACCTGTAGCTGCTGTTTAGAAACCATCTAAGTGAATTTGTCGTTCCTTCCAATGCCCGGGCCCCGGGACTCCTCTCCAATTAATTTTACCTGCATTGTGTTGGCCAGTCATCCAACTTTTGTGAGGTCCCTCTTGGTGCCTTTTAGTCTGAACAACCGTGTTAGCCCCAAATCTTTGCCTCTCCTGGGTTCACCCCTCGCATACTGCAGGCTTCATTTCCTGGCGCTTTTGTGTTTCGTCCTCTGTGGCATCCACATAGTTATGAGCATTTATGAATATTGGTGTAATTTCCATGTCTCTCGTGGAGCTCTCAAGGGAGCCAGGGAGTCCTGGCTTATCAGGAAGAGAGCAAGTCCCTAGTCAGACCTCTCCAGTTTGTAGCCTGTAGATTTTACACCAGAAAGACACACACAGGGATCGAGTTCACTTACCACTGACAGCCAGTCACCTCTGGGGTGGAACCAGGGGCATAGCCCTGAGTGGGCCATGGTCCACCACCTTGTATCCAGACCCCCATCCGGCTCTCCAGCTGGAGAGCAGCACCGGAGTGCCGGGGCTTATCCCTCTCGTCCCTGGCTCTCCGGCTTACCCCCCTCCATCCCTTCTGTCCCACTTCCATTCTTACCCACCCACCCAAAGCTGGGACCCTGAGCTGCTGGCCAGTCCCTGGCTCTTCCCCCCCATGGCATGTGGGATACGTGCCCCCTTGTGCTCCACCTACAATCGTGTAGCTGTCGCAGCATGGGCTGGCAGCCACTGGTCTTTTGCCTGTGCCACCATTTCCATACTACTGGAGTTACCCCGGCTGGCTAGATTGAAGGTAGCCACACTCACACCTTCACCGGCTAAAGGCAGCGGCTCCCTTTAAAAACCTCCCCTCGTGAGCATTCGTGATCCGGCCTTGCTTCAGGGCAAGGGAAGTGGAACACCACGTGGGTGTGTTACGTGGCTAGATTGAAGGTAGCCACACTCACGCCTTCACCGGCTAAAGGCAGCGACTCCCTTTAAAAACTCCCCCCGTGAGCATTCGTGATCAGGGCGAGGGAAGTGGAACACCACGTGAGTGTGTTACAGGCCCCTCTCTGCCCGGCAGACAGGCGATCTTACAGTCCCTACTGGAGGGATTTAGCGGAAGCTGTAGCAGCCCCAGAGAGCTGGCCAGGATGCGACCATTGCAAATCTTTCCAGAGACAGGGAACGGCTGGAGGCAGCAACAACAGGAGAGGGACACAGCTCTGTAGATAAGCCATGACGCCAGGTTACGTGGTGGGTACCTGGGAACACCAGATTAGCGCCGCCAAGAGGGATGCTTGTCTCGAATATTAAGAGATTTTTGGAGGTCTGCCAGCTCACCCCTTCCTCCCTGCATCTGCAGGTGGGAGACCAGATCCTGGAGGTGAACGGCAGAAGCTTCCTCAGCATCCCCCATGACGAGGCGGTGAAGTTGCTGAAGTCGTCGCGGCACCTCATCATGACCGTGAAGGACATCGGGAGGCTGCCTCACGCCCGCACCACTGTGGACGAGACCAGATGGATAGCGAGCTCCCAGCTCGGGGAGAGCCCGGTGAACACGGCAGGGTTTGTATGCGTGCCGGGCGAGATCTGCGGAAACATACTTTGTACAGGCCTGCACCCCATGGACTAGGTAAAGAGCCCCCGCATGTCATTAGGTGAGATCGTTGGCCTCTACTCCACAACTTGACTGGTTACGTTCTATGACCCTGCTACATGTTCCTATAATCTGGAACCCGGCAACCCGGAACCTAGCACCCCATACCTACCCCCTGGTAACCTGTACCCCAAGACTATATTCTAGAACCCAGCAGTATGGACCAGTGCCCTGGGATCTAGAACATAACTCCCCACAATCTAGAAATGACCCATCGCCTGCAACTTTAGTGTTAACCTAGAGCAATGGGGGAAGGGCAAACCGCCTTTTTAAGATGGTCGCAGCCTGTTACTGGGCCAATTTGGGCTGTTCTGACACGGTGCTAAAGGTCGTTCTCTCTCCTCGCAGGGCAGCTGGCGAGCCCCCAGCAAAGGCAACAGCAAAGGTAAGACTCCAGATGGGGGGAGCAAGGGAAGTATGCCGGAGGGGCCCCTGTGGCCTGGAATTAGATTGGAAAGCCAGGCAGGCTGGAGAGCCGGCCCAGCTGTGCACCAGGAATCGTTGAAAGGCAGCACAGCTTCCAAAGGCAGAGCAGAGCTGCCTGTGCATAGCTGCCTTGCTCTTCCTTTGTCGTGTGCTCTGGGAGACCAGCCCCCTTCTCCCACCATCTGGAGTTTTGAATAGTTCGGTGGCCAAAAGAAAAAGCCGCCACGCAAGCTACGGTGCAACGACCACCAGGTCACATGCTCCCGGCCACAAGCTGATTGGTTAAGGGTGACGCGGTGTAATTCTCCTCTTCCCTCACGGGCAGCCTGGCACAGTTACCCAGGGGTGTCATGTGCCGGGTGAGGGATCTCCTCTTCCTCCAGCGGCATCAGGGACCGGTCGGGAGAGGTGGGCTCTGAGTCAATGAGCCACCTGACCGATCCCACAGGCTAAATTCTATAGTCCAAGAATGACAAAACACGGACACTGAGCATGTGTGGGGCACTTGGATGGAAAGTGAGAGAGATCTCGGAGCACGTCAGTAACCTGGGCAGAGCGTGGTCCTACCATCCCATGCAGCATCAGTGGCCAGCCACTGCTGAGCCCTAAAGCGGAAGAGATGGCTCGGAAATAACATAAGAACGGCCACACTGGGTCAGACCAACGGTCCATCCAGCCCAGTGTCCTGTCTGCCAGCAGTGGCCAATGCCAGGTGCCCCAGAGGGAGAGAACACAACAGGGAATCCTCACAGGATCCCTCCCCTGTCACCCATTTCCAGACAAACAGAGGCGAGGGACACCATTCCTACCATCCTGGCTAATAGGACTAACCTCCATGAATCTATCTAGCTCTTTTTTGAACCCTGTTAAAGTCCTAGCCTTCACCGCATCCTCTGGCAAGGAGTTCCCCAGGTTGACTGTGCCTAGGGTTGCCAGAGACTTTCACAAAAAATACCGAATATGACGGGAAAAAAATTGGTTGAGCAAAAAAAAGCAACAAAGTTATTAAGAACCCCCCTCTCCCCACACACATACACACAAAGTCGCTGCATTTTTAAATCCCCATGCTCCTCCCCCCACTCTTGCCAGGACTGCATCTTTAAATCCCCTCCCACCCCAGATGTGGCAGAGGAAGAATGTCCCATGTGACCTTCCGTCCAATACATGTCCGGTATTTTTCTAGTGGACAGAGGCCGCAAATACCAGACTGTCTGGGCCGATACCGGACACCTGGCAACCCTGACTGTGCCTTGTGTGAAGAAAAACTTCCTTTGGTTTGTTTTAAACCTGCTTCCTATTAATTTCATTTGCCAACCCTAGTTCTTATATTGTGGGAACAAGTAAATAACTTTTCCTTATTCACTTTTTCCATACCACTCATGATTTTATAGACCTCTATCATATCCCCCCTTAGTCTCCTCTTTTCTAAGCTGAAAAGTCCAAGTCTTTTTAATCTCTCTTCGCATGAGACCTGTTCCAAACCCCTCATCATTTTTGTTGCCCTTTTCTGAACCGTTTCCAAGGCCGATATATCTTTTTTGAGACGAGGCGATCACATCTGTACACAGTATTCAAGATGCGGGCGCACCGCGGTTTCTTATTTCATGGAGATAATATTTCATGAAGTAAGAAAGCTGCAGGAATGAAGAAAGAAACTTAAGAGCCAAATATGTTCTCACCTGCTCTGATAGACATCCCGGGGGCTGCTCTTCATGCCGCTGTTTCCTGATTCCTCCGTGCTTTCCAGCGGGCCTCAGTGTCTGAGCAGAGAGGTTGATCCTCTTCCACCAAGAGAACTGGCTGCTGCCCTCCCTGCCAGCAGCCACCTTCTGTGGTCAGGGCTATTCGTCCCTCTTGCCCACACCCTGGTGCCAGGGCTGCAGCTGGGTGGGGAGTGACTGGGATTAGGACTCCAGCGAGGAGGGGGATGTTCTGCGTTCCCAGCAAGCAGGTCAGTCCGGTTGTTTGCCGGATGGGTTACAAGATCAGAGAGGTGGGGAGCCTGGCCAAAGCCACTCTCCAGAGGAGGGGTCTGCTGCGTTAGGGGGTGCCTGCCTCTGGATCTCCCGTATCACTACTGTGCATCGAAGAAGAGACATTCAAGGAGGCAGAAGCTAGAAGGATGGAGCCAAACGCTCGCAAAGGGCCAGGGGAACATCGCGTTCCCCACTCTCTGGGTTTTTAGGGGACGTGTCCGCTCAGGGGGACATGGTAGAGGACCACAGCTGAGCCCCAGAGTGCATGAGCCACACCTGGGGAAGCTGCAGGTATCTCTGCGTCGCATTGTTTCATGAGCCAGAGGACTGGGGCTGCCGGGCAATGGGAAACTCGCAGGCAGAGCCTTTGTCCGTAGCACTGTGGACGTGAGACCGGCTCTTACGATGGGCTGGTGGGGACAGAGGGGTTCTGCTCCCCCTAACTCCAGGCCAGAACTCTGATGGGGAGAGGAGAGGATGCAGATGGGTTACCGACCGGGAATCCACCGGTGCATCCTCACTGTGCGAGAGTCGGCAGAGGGTAGAACTGATTTCAGCCATCTCCATCCCAGGCTGGTCCTGATCCATTATCTGACCCTTCCCCTGGCGCCAGCCATTCGGGGCTGGGGCTGTGTATACCACTGGTCTGGGTCCAGTGGGGTCAGGAGTGAAAGCCTTGGCGCTCCAGAGGGCAGGTACATGCTACCACAGCCATGCCAGGCCCGAGCTAGCAGCCACACCCCTTCCCCTGCCTGCGTGACCACCCCCAGCCATCCAGGGGCCCTTCCTCTGGGCGGGGGAAGGAGGTGGGAGCCGGGCAGGGAACTGTGCCACCAGCTCTGCCTTTCCCTTTCACACGGGCCCATGGAGAGCAGCCCTGTCCTGGGTCATACTCGCCCGCTGGAAGCTCGCAGGCACGGGGGCAGGTCAGCAGCGTCCTGAGCTTCTAGGGAAGCGTGGCAACCACCAGCCTCAGTCCAGGGCCCTGTCGGGCCTGCCAGGTCCGAGGTGGGAGTGGAGGGAGCAACTCCTCTGCCATGGGGGCGTCTGGCAGATTCCCGAGACGGCGCGTGC